TCATTTTCCTATTTGAAGAAAATTAGAAAAACTAATTGATAGCTTATAACTTTTCAGGAATCGGTGACGGATAGTCCATTTGTCATTTCACCAAGAATAACTTTTGAGGTTAGTGTGCGGCTCCTTGGTGGCCTGATGGCCCTGGGATACACAATAGCTACCATTCTAAAAAGAAACAGCCATGTATTCTCTGATGATAGGGTGTCTGTGAAACTAGATTGGCTTGAGCAACTTAATCGACAATATGTTCAGGTACTGCTATAGCAAGTGTATCCTTCTATTTTATCACTGTTGAAAGCTTTCACTGGATTTCATATCTGTTGAAATCGCTAGGATTTGTCAGATATATTCCTTCAGTGCATTGCATTCTTTATGGGTTTTGTGTAATGCATTCTCTGATGAAATTTGTGGAAGCTAAGATAAAACCTTTCATTTTTATGCATTCCTGGACGTAAATGAGTATGTTTCTAATTGGTAATTAGCTTTGCAACACCATTTCATATTAAATTTCACAAATAGATCAAGCTGTTCGGGTTCCAGCATTTGAACTAAAGATAGAGAAATGTAAAATTGATATTCAAGAAATCTGAGAGTTCAAATACATTCTGTTCGTCTTCTGTTCCCCTTTCGTCATTGATGCTATGGCCTGGTTTTTAAAGAAGATGTTATCTGATAAATAAGTGTTAGTTTTAACTGTTGTTTATCCTGATAGTTCTTGGAAATATAAGGATAAAAAACATTACAGATGAATAGTTTATTTATCAGATAAGTAGAGGAAGACCTAGAGGGACACTCAAGGAAGTCATTGAATGGGATCTTTTGGTAGATGGTATATTTAAAGAATTCGATGTTGATATAATACATTGACATAATGCGATCCATGTAGTCAATCTCATATATAATGGGATGAGGCTTGGTGTTGTTGTTCTTGCATTATTTGGTTTGTAATTACTATTAGTCCTTCTGATATGTGAGTAGTGAAACAATGAACAGGTGCAAGGAAAAGATCGCTCAATTGTCAAATGCATTGCCCAGCAGCTCGGCATGGAGGGTTCCTATATAGCTCGTACGTACATTGAACAAATACAACTGGAAAAGATTGTAGATGAGGTTATGGTATGACATTTTCTCATCTGCTAATGTCGTGTTCCTTGTCAATGCTCTCTGTCTAACTATTCCACAGGCCCTTCCAGATGATTTAAAAACAAATCTTGGCCTTGATGAGGATATGGTGTCTAGCCCCAAAGAAGCACTTTCTAAAGCCTTTGCGGATAGGATTCCTGCAAAAAAAACGCACATGAGGTGGAAATTTCTGTACTTTTTATTTATTTTCTGAGATCAAAACATTATTGACACTGGCATGAATAATGCACTCATGTTCTTGTAATTTAATAAGCAGGTAAGTGGTTATACATGTCTATAATTTTAGGATGTAAGGTATTTTCATTAACCATGTTTGGTAACAAGTAACATAAGTTCAGAGAGTTCTGCTTGTAATGGTCATTATGGAAAATGGAAGTTATGTGATGCATCAATTGCATTACACTTCGTAGCCGTTGTGTTGTTTTTTTGGGAGAAGCACTTTCCTGTAGTTCAAGAGTTCCGCTTCTTGATTGAACTATGGTGGAAAAGATGTGTATTAGTGTTCAATAAAAATCTATATTAAATTTTGAAGTAAGAGGAAGGTGTATGGGAGTTCTGTTAAATTTGCTCGTAGAAAGGTGTCTATCTTATACTACGTGAAAGCAAGTATATTTTGGCCTTATCTAATAGATGGACTAATGACTAATGGACATCTTCAACAGTGGTATGTCCCATTCGTATACAAGCCAAAGGGACAAAAATCTACTCAAACATACTCGATATGGTGCCAGCAACAAAGGGTTCGGTGAAAGAAATCCAGATTCCTCCATAGCGCTAACAAATGAGGTAAATACATATAAAATAATTACTTCTGAACATGTTGCAGTTGATCTGAATTTTCACTTGTCTGTCTGTATATTATTCTATTTTTTTCTTGCATCACTCTCTTAATACATGGCATGGGGCCTTGACACAGCTTTCAGAACAAATTTCTTCCCTCAACGATAGAATGGATGAGTTTACAAGTCGTATTGAAGAGCTGAATTCCAAGTTAAATAAAAATTCTCCAAGCCAACAAACCGCCACACTCCAAGCTGAAGTCTGCAATGGTTCTGCTCCCACCTCTCACTTCATAACTCGTTTGGAAAGTGGTTCTCTAGCTGGATCTATTATGAAGTCCTCATCTTCATTGCAATTAGCTAAGGAGTCACCTTTAACGGATGAGGTATTCTTGCTGATTTTATATGATATTGTGGCCCTTAAAGATAATTTTCTGACACTGCATTTTCTTGTGAGATTAAAGTTAGATGGTTTCTCTTATGAATGAAACCAGAAAAATTTCTCATGAGGTAAAATGTGTCTAATTTGGGTGAAGCAATGCGATGCCTGACGGAACTATAAACTCAGTCGAGTAATAAAAGGAGTGGCCTATAATAAAGTGTTCTCCTATCCATTTATGCCTGATTAGGTAAATGAACTTAAAATGTAGCAACCTTCAGATGTTTCTGGTTGACATATAGATTAGTGGCTCTAACTGATTGTCCCTGAATGGGATTGTATCAGCTGTTACTGCAAGTTCAGATGTTTCTGGTTGACATATAGATTGGTGGCTCTAACTGATTGTCCCTGGATGGGATCGTATCAGCTGTTACTGCGAGTCCCTTTCTTTCAAATGCCCACCAGTTTTTTTCTAGTTTTTATTGCATAGAATTTGTTCTTGACTTTTTCTTTCAAAAAATTAAGTTATTCTCAGCTGTTAGAATGTGCTGGTGTGACGAAGATTCCTGTAATCACTTCATATTGGATGGAGCTTAAATAAAGTTCTCCAGATGGTTGCTATGGGATTCTCCAGTAAAATTACGCTTGCATATTGTACTATCAATCTCACACTGGCGACTCTTCAATGCAAGTTTCTTCATATCACCATGTCATACTTCTGTTGAACAACTCTAATGAATATGCTTTAAGTACCTTTAAGCCAGAGTCTGTCTCGAGACGACACGTTATGTTGTGTGTCATGTTCCTATGTCTTATCTCTAAATAATATACACACTTTTCAAGTTTATTATTTGATTTGGTGAGGCTACTGTTTGTTCTCAGATATTGGGTATTGCAAAAGGGCAGCGCCATATCATGCAGAAAGTAGACAACCTCAATAGCCTTCTCCTTGGAATTGGAAACATGGGAGCAAGGTCTCACCAAGCAAGAGCCAACAGGACAAGCATGGCTTCTTCTGCATCAGAATCTACTTCAGTCCGTGCCCTGCTTGCTATCACTTTTGGTTGTGTTGGGTTATTCATGGTGAAGGGCTTGATGTCTAGAACTTGATTCTTCTACACATTCTCAAGCTCCTGCTATTACTATTACTGCTATTATTACTAAGATATATATGGTTGTATGGCAAAATCTTCTGCTTGGTCAGAATGGTGAGGTTGAAGCATTGGTAGTACAAAGATGAGGATGGAAGGAGTATGAGCTTTGAGGGGACGATGAGGGTTTTATGTCCACTGGAAATTTTGTTGATTCCATGGGACTTTTCTAAATTTTAGTTTATAACATTCCCACTGTCTAATAGAAAAGAAAATAGAATTTTGTTTTACTTTAAATGATATGTTCTTGTGTGATTCTCCATTGCTGAAAATAACTTAGATCTTTTAGAGAGAGAAAATCTTTTCTATGTATAATGTGAAATACACACACACACATAGAGGTTTACTACTCATAGGATATGTCTAAAGTAAAAGTGGTAATTACATAAATAAAATAAAATTATGCATAAAATTAACTTTCTCCCTTTTTGTTCTCTCTTTTTTCTGTAAAATTTCATAGAGCTCTTGAATAAAGAAATAATAAATAAATAGTTATAATACCCTAATAATAATAAATAAAGATGTAATATTGTATATAATAGTTTTATATAAAAGAAAAATCATCTTCAACCAACACCAAATGGGCCAAGAAAAAATCGTAAAAAAAACTGCTGAAATAAAAAACTTATAAATAGAAACCCGTTACAATATTAGTGTTGGTTTTTGATAATAATAGTATGACTTTTGATAATAATTTTTATAAGCGAGTTTTGGTAGTTTTTTTTTGCAATTTTTCCTTAAAACAATGCGGATCGTTATGAAATATAAAAATGCTAATAAACTATATTATTTATGAATCACATTACTTTAGCAATAAATATTAGGCCTGCCATTTTGCGGTTTTGTCTAGGAAAAATAATTTTGAAAAACTAAAACCAGAAGTTAATTATGTTAAGGAACCAAGAATTTTTTTTAAACTACTCTTATAGATCTAAGTTTTTTTCTTGTAAAAATAAAATAAAATAAAATAAATTGTGATGACGGAATTACCCTTAATAACTTATGCCACTGGCAAGCGATAGATTCCTGAGTGGGACTTGTAAATTTGCATTCTTTTGAGTGCTAAATACATAAGCTTAACTTTATACGTTTGTTCTCTCTACAACTATTTAGTACTCTCTTGGTCAAAAAAATGATCGGTAAAATTTGCTTATTTGTTTTTGCAAAGAATGATCTCGGTCATTCAAAACAATTTTAGAAATCTACGATCCTTCCGCATAAATGATCTTTCATTTTGATATTTCTGCATAATTTTCGCTTTTGTTTTTGCTTTATTCGGATCAAATTCAGAAAGAACAACCAGCGACGAAGAAGTAAAACGGCTGGGATGCCAACTAGCTTTTTTTTTTTTGGGACCCCCTGTGACACTTTCTTGTCCCATTTTTAACGCTGGGGTCTCTGGGCACCGAACCGAAAGAATTCTTCCTAAACCAGTAAACCTTATCTTCCCTTCAAACGACGGGAAAGTGATTATTGATTTTTTCCGGTAAAAGAAGATCGCAAAATTGTGTTCAGCTTCAGCAGCTTCATTCTGGGTATGATTCTTTATCTTTGCGCTTTCTGGTGCGTTTTTCGATGCATTATATTCCAAATCGATTGGAATTGAATTATGGGCTTCTTTTAAATATGAGATCTTGCTTCGTTGAAATGACTTGTGGTCTCTCTCTGTTTTGTATTCAAGCAGAATTTACCCGAATTCTCATTGTTGGTCATTCGTTCGTTTGGACAATGAGAGGAAATATATTTATTTAGTAGAATCAAGGATAATTAATTCCGCCGCCCCTGAGGGTGTGGGGGGTCGGTTTTCTTTCTTGATAGATAATCCACCGTTATAAAAGAGAGGGTTAGTGATATGAGGGATCCTGTACACAAATTTGCGGGAAAATACAGTTTAGTTTTTTTGTCTCTTATAATTTTGTACTTATGAACTATTTTCTGTTTTTCTTTATATGGATTAACTGAAGCACTCAAATGGGCGATTTTTGGGGTCCTGATTTGATAAGTGATCTTCCTCAAAGTATTATAGAGAGTATTCTGGTAAGATTGCCGATAAGAGATGCCGTTAGAACAAGCATTTTGTCGAGTAAATGGAGGTACAAATGGAATGGCATCACTAAAATTGTGATTGATGAAAAATGTGTTCCTTCCGGTAATGATCCAACTATTGTTGAGAAAAGCCTTATAAAGTTCGTCAACCAGCTGCTCTTTCTTCACCAAGGTCCAATACATAAGTTTCAAATCACGAATTCATACTTGCAGAGCTGCCCAGAAATAGATCAGTGGGTTCTTTTTCTTTCAAGGAATGATTTAAAAGAATTGGTTCTGGAATTAGGTGAAGGTGAATGGTTTAGAATACCATCATGTCTTTTCAATTGTAAGAAATTGACTCGCTTGGAGCTCTTCCGCTGTGAGTTGGAACTTCCTCTTACCTTTAAAGGATTTTTGTGTTTAAAGACTCTCATCCTTCATCAAGTTCTGATATCTCCTGAAGCAATTGAGAGTCTTATTTCCAGTTGCTCACTTTTGGAGAGTTTATCACTGTCATACTTTGATAGTTTAGCTCTCACTATTCATGCCCCAAATCTCCTATACTTGTATCTTGAAGGTGAATTTAAGGATCTATGTCTTGAAGACACCCCACTTCTGGTTGATATATCTGTTGCTATGTATATGACTGACGACATTGCTGAGCACTTTGAGCAAAGTTCAAGTTGCAATTTTACCAAGTTTCTAGGTGGTGTGCCTAATCTTGAGAGGCTCGCTGGGCATATCTACTTTACAAAGGTAACGTTTTGTTTTTATCTGTTTGTTGAGTTAGTCCAAGTTCATTTTGCTTGGAGTTTCAGCCACGCAAAATAATTTCAGTGTCGATATGGCCAAAACTCTTTCTTATTGCTTTTCCAACATTCTTGAAGTATTTGAGCATAGGCAATGATCCAGGAAAGCTACCAGTAACATATCGCAATTTAGAGACTGTTGAATTATATCAAGTAAGTTTTGAGGATATGAAAGAGATACTTGTGGTCCTTCGCCTTATTACAAGCTCTCCCAATCTAAAAGAGCTTCAAATTTCAGTAAGTCCTTGTATATATATGATGCTAAGAAGCATTTACACTAACCTGCATATGAGATACGGCATAGGCATAGACATCGTGACATGACAGTTTTAGGTGTGATGTATGGATAAAGTGTTGCATCTTGTGTTAATGTCCATGATTCATTGATGTGAAGGCATTCTTTTGTTTCTACATAGTAATAATGTAAAGCTCTTAGCCTTTCATACATTTTAGAGTTCATGACTATCCAATTCTTGCTTTTGTAGGGTTCATCAAACACACCACCTGCAACGGATGCTCCGGATTTGGATTTTTGGAGTGAGGAATGCCCTTCAGATTGTACACTTAAACAGCTTAAAGTTGTGAAGTTAACAGATATGTGTGGTGTACCGCATGAGATGGAATTAATCAAGTTTTTGCTTGCCAACTCACCTGTGCTTGAAACCATGAGCATTGTTCCCTGTATCTATGTAATGGAAAGTCAATTGAAAATGTTGATTGAGTTGGTGAGATTTCGACGAGCTTCTGCTCGCGCAGAAATCATTTTTGTTCGTGATTAGATTTGTATAGACCATCTTATCAAATGCATTCTTTCCCTCCCTTTCCCCATATATTGTCTTTATCTTTTCATCTATGCATTACTTTCTTGTGTTGCAAGTATCACCCTAAGGACTTGCCAGAATTTGATATTGATTCAATAGAGCTCAACGGAGGTGGTGTTCTTGCACTGTTAGATGCACTTGCAGATGCAGATTATCGTATTGTTGAAGGTGTTTCCAACTGCATATTTCACATGAAACTTTGCTTTGGATTGGCTTAATTTTTCAATAATAATTAGCAAGAACACTTCAGAATGAGGAACATTCATCGAATGGATATCTCACTAAAGCAAGCTTCAAAGAGCCTTTTCTACCTTTTCCCCCTCCCCTTTTGGAGGATTATCATTTCTTGCAAATTCCATGAATTGTCCGTGTTGACCTGGAACATCTGTCGTCTGGTTGCATATTTCTTGGGATAAAGAGACAGAGTTCAACAATCAGATTTATATCTCTCAGATTAGTAGATTACTGTAAAATCTGGTATAAATGTATGCGATGTATGAATATAAAATTACTAACCAAAAAAAAAAAAAAACAGATCAATGCGATTGAAAGGATTTTTTTTTTTTGGGTGAAGAAAAATTTTGAATTCCGATTGAAAAAATTTTGCTGAAAAATTATTCTCATTTGATAATATTTATATCTGAATTAGCCAATAATTTTGAATATTAAATTGCTACGAAAACAATATAGAGGAAATATAACTTGTGGTCTGTAAATTTTTACTTAATTATTGATTTGGCTTTTTTGAATTAAAATGATTTTGGTTCCCATGGTTCTTTGACCAAGAATGATTCTGTCCTATCACTTCCTTAATTCAATAAACTACAAAAACTAAGTTGTTTTGCATCAAAATTCAGCGACTGAATCGATAATTAAAAAAAATGGATATATTTTCTTAAAAAGGATCTCACACTATCTCCGATCCCTAATATAAAAGTTTAAAAAAAATTAGTTAAATTAATTATTTGTAATAAATATGTATTATCTTTCCTAAAATATCTTTGTTAATCATATACATTAGCTGGAACTACTATTTAATAAAATATTTAACATGTGCAATTATTACAAAAACTATTTTGAAAAAAATAGATAAACAAGAGACAAAGTGGATTGGGATATTATATTTAGAAACAAATTGAATGTCAAACTAACTTTTATATTAAGAACCGAGAGGTAGAGTTTCATAGACAATTTTCCATATTCTTTTTTTTTTTTAATTACATGGCAGTATTGTTACTTGGAAAAGAAACCCGTATTCTAATTAATATCCGTTGATAAAATATCGTTTGTCTCGCATCTCTAAATCAATAAACGCCTAAGAACTTGATTTCTATGAAGAATTGTCCAAAACATCTCAGCATCTGCATTCTAGTTAACAATTAACCAATACTACCTCTAATTTTTAATATAATACATAATTGACTAATTTGAAAAAATCAAGAAAACTAAAAAGTTATTTAATTATAGCATATGTTTTATGATCTTTTTAAAATACTTATGTGCATCATTATATTATATTTTAGTTTATAAGCCAAACAAATTAGTTTGGACAAAAACAATAAACATAATATTTTAATGTAATTTATTTAATTTTTTTAATCTATTTAAATTAGTGAACTAGGTATTGCATTAAGGACCAAAGGTAATAATATAAAACTGCTAAACGGCAGTGTAATTGTACAGTAAAGAAAAAGTGCAATAAGCAAATAGTTAACCGAGAAAAACAAATTTCAAAATGCTATGGACATTTGGTTTAGTAGAGAGAATACAAGGAGAAACCAATCCCAAGATCATTATCACTACAAATTAAAGGACCCACAAGGATGCCCATTTTTTTTCTACTTAATTAGATTCTTATTTATTATATATACTCATACGCCCAGAAAAACCTTGGCTCTAGGGGAATTTAGAATAACATAACACAATCATGACTCATCTATATGTGAGCGTCTGTACAGTCAGAAATTGACTTAACTCTTTAGAAGATGCTAAAATGATGCTAATGTACAACAGACTCATCATCTTGGTCCAGAAAGCTCCATTGCCTGTGCGAGCAATGAAGAGTCATCAGTAAGATCAGAGTATCTCTCTGAAGAAGAGAGTTCATTCCCTCTGCTTCTTGTTGATTCTGCTCTCTGTGAGGCTTCCCATTTCTCTGCAAGCCCATCTCCTTCAAGCATCCTAACCACTTCAGACATCTTTGGTCTATGACTTGGAAGATACTGAGTACACAGAAGAGCTACTTGAACTATTTCTTCAAGTTCAATTTTATCATAGTTATTTTTCAGGTCCTTGTCAATTAACAAGTCAAGCTTCTTATCCTGATGAACCTTCTTCACCTGCATTTAACAAGTTAAGAGCAGTTTAGTATTTATCATCAGATTTCTGAATTCCTTCACATATCATGATTTCTTATTTCAAGATTATTTGACTCACCCAGTCGAGAATAGCTCCTTTCTGGTTTACTGCTTTTCCAAATTCAAGAGCTCTCTGGCCTGAGATTAGTTCAAGAAGGAGGATTCCAAAGCCAAACACATCTGTTTTCTCAGAGGACTGGCCAGTTGAGAGATATTCTGGGGCTATGTGCCCAACAGTGCCTCTAACAGCTGTTGTCACATGAGACTCATGGTGATCCAAAAGCTTCGCTAACCCAAAATCGCCCACCACAGCTTCACAATCATCATCTAGCAAGATATTTGCAGCCTTCACGTCCCTGTGAATGATCTTGGGGTCACACTGCTCATGCAGATATAGCAAGCCCCTTGCAGCTCCTAAGGCTATCCTCTTTCTTGTTCCCCAGTCAAGAACAGGCTTGGCTGTAACATCAAAAATAGCAAACCAATTTTCAAACCTCATAAACCATAGTTTTCGTGTAACATCTGATACTAGGTGAAACACCACTTTAACTAAAAGGTTTTTAGCTGTGTTATAACCTCAAATATGATGGAAGTTCCATTTTTGTGACAGAAAACCCTGAAATAAGTGGATGTATAAGCAATGACTAGTGGTAAAAATCTACAATTACCTTTGAGACGGGAAGCAACACTACCATTGGACATGTAGGGATAAACCAAGAGTCTTTCAGTTGCTGTCATGCAAAATCCATAGAGGCGAAGGAGGTTCCGGTGCACGGCTAAGCTAATCATCTCGACTTCTGTCTGGAATTGGATCTCCCCTCCAATGGCATTACCATCTTTTAGCCTCTTCACTGCTATAATTGAACCATCAGAGAGGTACCCCTTGTACACATTCCCAAATCCTCCTTTGCCAATCAAGTTCTTGCCGCTGAAGTTATTTGTAGCAGCCTGAAGCTCTCTGAAATTGAACTTCTTGAGGTTTCCAAGGCAAATTTCTTCACGGTATTGTTCTGAAAAATTTGGCACAAGGATGTTTAAGTGGGGACAAATTGAAATTACGTGGCTGCCAAGTTGGCGTTATTAACTTGTTTTAGTTTCTAGTTTGTGATTTACTGACCACTGACGTCAAAGAAAATCTGTTTGTTGTATCTTTTTCTCCACCAAAGGACGAAACCAAACCCAACAATTAGTAGGCAGATGCAGCTTATGCTTGAAGCAAATGCCAAAGCAACTTTGTGATGTTTAGGTCTACCAGAGGATTGTGAATCTGGAGAAGCATTTCAAGAAACTATCTCAGAAACTTAGATCATGGAGATAAGAACATAGACAAAAGAGATAGATAAAGAAGCAGGAAACTTATTTGAAAATTAATTGATCACAACAGTGCTTTATGGTCTCAATTTGCAGAAGAAAACAGTAGTATTAAGCAGAAAAGTTAACGTCATTATGAACTCGAAGTTTTTTCCTTTTTGCAAAAAGAAAAAAAGATCTTTGTGGAACACTTGATTTGAAATAAGAAACAGTACTTTAGAAGAGGCATCATGTGGTATGAGAAGCGAAAACTATGATTACCTTGAGAATTATTTAAACTTGGAATTAAAAAATTATTTTGGGGAAAAAAAATCTTTGCCAGGCATTTGATTTGAAGTACGAAACAGAACTTTAGAAGAAGCATCATGAGGTATGAGAAGCAGAACTTTAGAAGAAACATCATGAGTATGAGAAGAAGAAACTATGATTACCTTGAGAAATATTCATGGAAGAAGAAAGTACAGAGGTTCTAAAGCAGTTTTGCTCAGTTCCAGTGGCACAAATCTGGGGATTGCCTACAATACTGTTTGAAAGAGATAAACATATTAGGGAAGCAATTAACAGTCTAACTTCATGCCCTCATAACAGGAAAATTAAAAAGAAACTAAATGTGTCAATGAGGAAAAAATAGAAGAGCTTACCTGAATGTTGTTGCATTTATTGTAGGTACAGGTCCGCTCAAGTTATTATAGGAAATATCCCTAAACATATTTCAGAAGCAGACAGAATATTAATCGGAGACAAAATTAGTAAGGTTAAGGAGCAAAAAAAACAAAGAAAGAAAAAAGGTATAAATAAGGTAAAACTTACAGAAAAGCAAGCTGGGTCATATTAGCCAAAGAGGATGGAATTTCTCCACTGAGACTGTTATTATTCAGCCGTCTGATTGCAATTCATTTTCCAATTATCAGAAACAGGAAGGAGAAATATAAAGCTATTATATATGTATCCTGTGCATTTTTTAACTTACAGGTAATGAAGACTGTTCATTTGAGAAAAACTATCAGGAAGTTGACCAGAAAAGGAATTATCAGAAAGATCAAGAGTTTCGAGCTTTTGGAGTCTCCCAAACTCAGAAGGAATCGTTCCTGATATATTGTTATCTTGCAAGAGCCTGCAAAAATATGTTATAAGATAAATTTCAAACTATATATCTTACTTTCTTCAACCATGGTTGATTATACGTTACTCACACAGTCCGTAGATTTGTCAAGTTTCCAATGCTTGGAGATAAAGTCCCTGATATGTTTTGGCTTGGAATTCCACTGAGGAAAAGAAAGGGCAAAGTCTTTAAGAAGAAAATACCATAAAAACTACGATTTCTTCGTCTGATTTAGAGTGTTCAAGCTTGACTTACAGAGCAATGACAAAATGATCAGGAGAACAAGTGACCATTGCCCAGCTACAGGGATCCACAGCATCTCTATCCCAGTTATAAAGTGCAGCATGAGGATCCACCAAAGCAGCTTTAATCCCCATCAGAGCTTGCACTGTAATCTCCTAAAGATTAGTTCTTATGTGTTCAAACACTCTTCTGTAATTATGAAACGACCATTCCCAGTTTCTTAACTTACCTTCAAAGTTTACCCCTTTAGGAGAAAGCAAACCAGATACAGAACTCCACAAGGAGAACAGAGATAAACAAAAGAAACCCATATCTCCTCTCTTCTCCATTTGGGTTAAAGAAACTTGTTCTCTTCTCAGAACAAAAGAAACTCAAAAGGTTCAAGATAAATCAAGCACAAGTGAAGTAAGCAACTAAAGGGGAGGAGTTGAAAGAATCAAGAGCAAGAAAATTATGGGGATTTGGTTGTGTTCACACTCTTCTTGTGCCAGATTTCAAACAGAGCCAGGTACTGATAGGAAAGAGAGACTGAAAAAAGGACAGAACTAAGCATGCCTTGCCTGCCAGTGAGTTCAGCAAAGTTACCAAAGAATGTGTGTGTGTATATAAAAGCAAAAGGGACACTGTAAATCCATTCTAGATATATGCAAAAGATGATTGAGAAAAAATAGAAATTCCTTCAACCATGCAATGATCTAGAGAGGGAAAAAAAAAAAAAGAAGATAGTTTATTCAATTTATTTCCCTTGATTATAATATAAATTAAAGCAAGTGAAGTATTATCTGTTAAGCACCGCAAAAGGCTGGTACATTGGAGCTTGATTAAAATTGACCGAGTGGATCAAAGAGAAAGCTCTCTCTTTCTGCAAGGAGGAGAGAGAGAGAGAGAGATAACTAAGTGGGTCCCAAATTATTCTCTTAATTCATCTTAAAACAGCCTTATTGTAGGTAAATCATCCAATAATTGCATCTAAAAACAACTGTGTCAGTGACTTAAAAATCACTTAAATTATTGCTTTAAGTTGTGTCAGGTTACAGTAAGTATTAGAATCAGACATTCCCTGAGGGAGGCCATTATCTTTTAGCAAGTACCAAATTCCACTATCTTTGGTTTTATTCAATTATTATAAGGGAAAAGTGGAGAATCCCGAGGGATTGATGATCTCAAAGGGGATAATTATAGGTCCTCGTGAGAAAGATCTTTGTTGTGTCAAATTTGTGAATATAAATAAATAATGTCCGCCACAGATTAGGGTGGGTTTGGTCTCTTGACGTTCAAATTAGTCACAGCTTGGAGGATTTGCTTTATTGATTCTAATAAATCACTCATTTTGTCTCCAAATAATCACTTTCAAGGCAACAGTTGGATTATATATAATTAATTATTAAAGAAAAAGCTCAAAAGCAGAGTCTACTTTAAAAAGCAAAAGCTGTAATCTCTCTGTTTGTCTCTTTGAAGCAGCGCTCTTGGGGGATAGATTGAGAGCTTCCCACTAACTGTGCCGTCCCATTAAGGACATAGGCCTTCTTTTTGACTCACATCATTGTAGGATAAGGATTTTTTTGGCTCATTCCTATCAACCATTGGATTTATGTATTATTTATGTAGCTAACCTATCATATTATCATTGTTGTTGTTCTTATTATTATTTGTTAGGAATGATTAATATGTAAGTGCCTATGATTTTATCTCATTTATCCACATTCAAATTAATTCTAATAAACACCCAGTTGGATCTAATAATGTTTGAATCTAATGATGTCCAGTAAATAGATCAAAAAATAATATATGATAAGCTTAGAAAGTACTATCCATGTCCTAATTAAAAGGCTTCATTTATAGTTTATAAATAAGGTCTTATAATTAGAACTGAAAACAATAATATTTATGATTGATGAAACTGTAAGGAGTCAATAAAACAACTATAGGTCCTCAATCAAAAATTAAATGAATCTATAAAAACTAACAAATTAATTTTTTTCTTAATAGTATTATTATTGTGTGTGTCTTAATAGCCCATTTGCAGGGAGAAATTTATTTTGTAAATGCACCGAGCTTTAGAATGCACAGAAAAGTGATGGCAAAAGTTATTCTATTTTTTATATGTATCATACTACATTCGCTTTAAGAAAAAATAAATTTTTTGGTTGTACCATTTTGATTTGATTGTAATTTAATTTCTAAATTTTAATTTGATAAAACTTAATTTTTGTAATTTTAACTCAGTTATAACTCGATAAATTTAAACACTGAGTTTATTTAGTCTGTTAAAACTCACAACTTCCTTTATAAGAAGATGCGGGGGGTATGATTCAATCAAAAGTTTTTTAGGGAAAAAAAATAAAAACAAAGCACACGTGCATGCACGAACACAATCCAAACTCTGTTCCCCCCCCCCCCCCTGCCAATGCACAATTTAAGCCAGTTAAATCTGACTTGAATGAAGAATGAATCTTTCCCATAGTACTTAATTGAGTTATCCCTCTTTCTCAACTTAACCTTAGCTAAAGTGAACGTGAAATAATTTTTTCCAACTCACTTTTTTTTTTTTAATCTTTTCGTTTGGTCCTTTCCTTGTATGGGAGAATCCCCCAAAAAAAAAAGTTTAAAACTGTTAAATAAGAAATTTCTACTCCAGGCCTAAAAAAATAAAATTTATACAAAAATATTTTGTTATTTACAAGCATAATATTATCAAAACCTATTAAAGTATTGTTATCAAACTTGATTTAGGATTTAGTAATTTCAAATTTCTTATCGTGAAATATTTTCCTATAGTTATTTTTTTGTTTAAACTTTAAATCTAATTGAAAGAATTATTCATTTTTTCATAAATGATGCATCAGTCAACGTTATTATTGTAATATTCTGGTTCATGCATCATGCAATCATTGTTGGCTTTATCTAAGTTAGAATTTGTTTTGGGTAGGGGGGAAAATATATATATATATATATATATGCACACACATTACTTCGTCTTCTTAATATAGGAGTTATTTAATTAATTTGAGTAGATTAAAAAAAGTTAGTTAAGTCAATTATTTATAATAAATATAAGTTAATTTTTCTAAAATATTTTTTTATCATAATTATCTCAAAGTACCCTAGACAAACTTGGAGAACAGAATAGGACTAAATTTAATTCTTAACTAATTTTTATATTAGGAACAGAAGGTAGTCTAAATATTTTGTGTGCCGGCAACTTGAGAACATGCGAACGTATTTTCATTACATCACCCACAGTTTTCCCAAAATGTCCCAACAATTCAAAATGTCTAGGCTAATTTATGTATTCAGATTAAAAATTTAAGAAATTGCCCTAATTAAATCCATAGATTGAAGTGTTCATGTGAATAATAATGAAAAAATACCTGAAAATTGCTAAGTTAAATTAGTGTAGATAAATTATAAAATCTCAGATCAGATATATTTTATTATTTTTAAATTATTTTAAAATGACATAAATACCTTCACATTTAAAAAAATTTCAAAATAATAGAAGAAATTTGGATTTTAAAATTGACCCAACTAATTTGTTATTCAACATTTTTAGGATTTTTTTAATAATAAATAATATATATAGGTCAAAGCTGAAACCACTTTTCCTTTTATAAGGGCTTCCCATGAATAGTGCCTCCTCTGACTGATTGCCCCCTCGGTGCACGAGCAAGGTAGGTCCCACCCACTTTTCTACCATTTATCTTTTTATCGGATTTTATTATAAACGATTAATTGTTTCTAAATAAGAAAATAAAACATTGTTGCAATTATGAGCAATAAAAGAATCTCATTTTTCGCTAATTAAAGTACTGCGATGGTCCCATGCCAGATGAAAGGAAAAAGAAGTGCTGAAAAAGCTCTTCTTCCTTTGGATTCCTAAGAAAAAAGAGGAAAAGGCTCGTTTAATACCCTAATTAAAAGGCATGGTTTGACTCAAAATTATCATATTACCGTTATATACTTTTGAAAAAACCGAAAATACTTCACATAATCCCAAAACAAAACCCAAAAAAAAAAAGCTTTTTTTGGGGGGGGGGGGAAGCCTTGCTTTGTTAAACAGACACAAAACAGAAACGAGTCCTGAAAGGTGAAGAAGTTAAATTTTCAGTCAAAGCAATGGATTACAAGCAGATGGGAAGTTGACCGTATGACCATAACTAACCAAATGATCGGGAAATCATTATCCCTTAATCTCCTCTCTTATGTGTGGGACCCCCACAATGATCATTTTGTGCGTTGTGCCAACCAACCCACTAATTCATTATTATTATTGCTACTATTGTGCCTTTGGCCCTTTCCTCTTTTACAAAAAGAGCATCATATAAGCTCCCAAATTTCTTCACTATTCATTCCCTAGAATAAAAATAACTATAGCCATTTAAACATTATATCTCAAGTTTGAATTCATAACAATACCAAAAAAAGGATATTACGAAATTATTTGGATTGATATTTTAGAAATAATTTTTCAGCAGTATTCCAAATAAATACGTAAAAGGAGTTTTATTTAAATTTGGGCGAAACCACTTCTTCGATGAGATGAACTGATTTTAATTTGACATGTGGGGGCCACCACCATGAATCCATCATTATGTGATTACTTTGACCGAGGTCTCATCAGGAGATCCCATAGAACTCTTGAACTGGTTACCATCCAACAACATACGTACACACACACAGTCCTTGATTTGTCTTTTCATTATTTTCCTTTTCCTTGACAGGGTTTCCTCTATTTGACATCTTTTCCTATGGTACTATGTTAATACTGATCGATTATATGAACTTCTCTTTCTATGTACTTTTTTTCGGTCTTACATATAATTTCTAGCTTATAGTGCATCTGTATTATAACACAGTCACATGTATGTGTAATATGACAGGGAGATGTTTGTTTAGATATAATATAAGACCTCGTTTGATTTTTATTTTGGTTCTAAATATAAGATTCTAATTGACTTTGTCTCTCATATTTATTTATTTTTTCAAGATAATACTTCTAATAATGGTAGTTCTAACCAATAAACTTAACTAGTAAGAATATTTTAAGAAATACAATACTTATTTATTGCAAATAACTAACTTAACTTATTTTTTAAATTTATTTAAATTAGTCAACTAGCTCTTATATTTAGGACCGGGATAATATATGTGTTGTAGTTGTGACTATACTCTGAATGCATGACACATACAAATCAGTAGGCTTTAATCACAACTCATATGATGTACACACACATATACCGCAAATGGTGCCTCACTAAACGGAATTTTCACTGCAAAAAAATCTGACTCTCACGGTCTTCTTTTCAGCAGCTTTAACAAGAAATCGTTTTAATTATTGAATTACAATTTAATGTTATTAGTTTTTGTTAGACCATGAGATTTTTAGTCACGATTATTTAATTTGATCAGTGGTGTGATTCATTATTAAGTTTTAAATGCTAATGGAGTTTTTTCAGGTACATGGTTCAAAATTTAATGGAGTTTTGTGTACTTTAATATATATATATATATATACTCCTCCGGTCCTAATTATAAGACCCAATTGACTTATTTGAGGAGATTAAGGAAGTAAGTTAAATTGGTTATTT